TACTCCTGTATGATCTTTGCTTTGTATGAGAGTTAAATTAAATTTTAATAAAGACAGAGACATGGTCTCATCATTAACATTCAAAAAAAAAAAAAAAAAAAAAATTATTATTATATTTCGAAAATGTTTCAGATTTTTATTTTAGAAAATTTTCTGAAAATCTTTTAATTTTATATTCCGGAAATGTTCCAGAAAATGAGCATTTTCTGAAATACTTATTTACCTTAATATTCTGAAATTAATCCAATTATTTAGAAAAAATCTGATAATAACCAGATTGTATCATGATTATTTTTAAAATAAAATATAAATAAAATAAGGAATTTATAAAATATCATCATGGCGATATAACATCAGACACCATAAACCAAGTAACTATCAAATTAGCATTACACTATCCAAGATCAATTTTATTAATTAATTATACCATATTAAGAAACAACGCAACATCATAAAAAAAATATTTTACATAAAACCTACTCTAAACGCTAACTTAATTGCTTACCTTAAACCAAAAATAAATCCCTAACCAAAATTTACTTATCAAAAAAGCCCACCATTAATCGTGAAGCTACAAATTATGATTGATGATATATAGCACAATGCCACTTAATGAAACTGACAACTTGACAACAACAACAACCCTAGAGAACAGAAATATTGAATACAACTCCACCATCAAATGATGAAGTGACAATTCAACAACGCGATTAAAAAAAAAAGGCTGGTTAGTAAAGAAAAATAAAGCAATAATAAAAAAAAAAAAAAAAAAAAACAAAGCAATACTTACCAAAATGATGAAGCACGAAATGTGATTTCACTAACGAACGATGACGGCCCAGTGAACAGCAATAACGAATATAACTCCAGCAAACAATAAACAACAATTCAACGACATGATTAAAAAAAGGCTGATTAAAACAAAGAACCAAATGCAATTCCACCAAAGAACCATAACAACCCAAGGAGCAGCAATACAAAATACAATTCCACCAGCAAACGACGAAAGACAATCCAATAACGTGATTAAAAAAAAAAGGCAAGTTAGTAAGGAAAAAAAAAGCAATATAACAAAAAAAATTATATTTACTAAGTTAACAAAACACCAATTGCTATTCTACAAATGAATGACGACAACTCCAGAGAACAGCAATACTGAATACAACTCAACCAGCAAATGACGAAATGACAATCCAACAACGCAATTAAAAAAAAAACTGGTTAGTAAAAGAAAGAAAAGCAATATACAAAAAAAAAAAAAAAGCAGTACTTATCAAGAGATTAGTGATTCCACCAATGAACGATAACACCCTATGGAACAGCAATATCAAATATAACTCCACCAGCAAATGCTGACAAAATAACAATCCAACAACGCAAGTAAAAAAAACAAAAGGCTAGTTAATAAAGAAAAGAAAAAGCAATATAATAAAAAAAAACCATATTTACCAAGATGGCAAAGCACAAATATGAATCCACTAACTAACAACAATGACAATCCAACTACGCGACTTAAAAGACGAAATGACACTAAAAAAAAGCTGGTTAGTAACAAAAGAAAAAAGGCAAAAAAAAAGAAAAGAGACGAATAAAAAGGAATAAGAGAAAAGAAAAGAAATGAAAGAAAAAAAGGGACAAAAGAAAAGAAAAGAAAAGAAGCAAAAATAAAAAAATGGGACAAAGGAAAAGAAAACAAATGAAAGAAAAAAAAGGTACAAAAGAAAAGAAAAGAAGCAAAGATAAAAATTGGGACGAAGGAAAGAAAAGGAACAAAGAAAAAAAAGGAACAAAGAAAAAGAAAAGAAGCAAAGGAAAAGAAAAGAACAAAGGAAAAGAAAAGGAACAAAGGAAAAGAAAAGGAATGAGGGAGAAAAAGGGGGCGAAGAAAAAGAAAAGAAATGAAGGAAAAGAAAATGAACAAAAAAAAGGAACAAAAGAGAAAAAAAGAAAAAGAAAAGAAAAAGAACAAAGAAAAGAAAAAGAATGAAGAACAAGGAATGAAAAAAAAGGAACAAAAGAAAGAAACGAAGGAAAGAAAAGAAAAGGAACGAAGGAAAGAAAAGAAAAGGAACGAAGGAAAGAAAAGAAAAGGAACGAAGGAAAGAAAAGAAAAGGAACGAAGGAAAGGAAAGAAATTAAAGAAAAGAAACGAAGGAAAAAAAATGAAAAAAATATCTTATGTAATGATCCTCCGGTGTGATCACACGTTACACAAAGGTATGTTTTCGGCCATGATATCTCATAACTTTAACTTAATATCAATAAATAATAAAGTTGCAAACCGGAATATTTTCTGAATACTCAAAATTTCATTTTTTTTAAAAAAAAACTTAGGAACATTTCCGGAGCAATATCAATATCAATACATTATGCAAATTTCAGTTCGGAATATGATCGGGATGGGTTAGACTTGCCGGAACAAAATCGGAATATATCTGTAAAAAATTTTTTATAGGGTACATTCACTTAATATATGGACCGCAAACAAGTTTCAAGTTTACTGTTAATTGCTATTGCACAACTTAATATTAATTTTGCTATTACACCATGCATCTTATTTTATTTCAATTTGGCCAGTGAGTAAAAGAATTAATTAGTATTTAAACTGCGTAGCTTAAAATTATCAATTTTTATTTTTAAATTATGAATGATAGGTGGTGCGAAGCGCCCATTCCTTGTACTTGCGATAGTCTTATAATCAGTATTGAGAATGGACCTGAGTCATTTTTTATCTGGAGGCTGAAAAATGACATACGTCAATTATAATTGAAAATGACGCGCAACATTTAATTAGTAGCCTAATTTTGCTAGACCACTTTACTAAATCACACCAACAGTGTTCATCACCACATTTTTTTAATAGTCTTGCTAGTAAAATTTAGGGTTAGGCAACCTAAAATATAGTAAAGTTATAAGTCTAGATATTAGTTAAGGTGCGGTTATTGGAGACGCTGAACATTTTTGCTTAGTATCACTGACGTGTATTAGCTAGTAAGTTTTTGAGATATAGAGCTGTGGTGTTGAGCACTACTGGTGCAATTTAATAAAACCGTTGCAACACATTAAAAAAAAAATTTAAAAAAATTTGCTCCTGTGCCGTAGGCACGAGTTATATGCTAATCATATCAGACCAATCGAATAGCTAAAACGTACGAACTCTGAGTTAGGTAATATAGATATATTTCCAAAAGCTTAGTTTAAAATAACATTTATTAGATTAATATTATTTATAAACTCTTTTAACTTGTCATGTTAATATATACTTTATCATAATGAAATTACTTATATGGGGTCTTTGCCTTGAAAATCACCTTCCGACATTTCCGATCGGGTTAATTCGGACAAAAATAAACCTGAGTACCTATTCATGTTCATATGTTAATCATCTTTTACTTTTATTGATTCAATAGTTATTCGATAAACTATTGAATCAAAAAGTTAAAGGATGATTAACATATAAACATGAATCGGTACTCGGGTTTATTTTTGTCCGAATTAACCCGATCGGAAATGTCGGAAGGTGATTTTCAAGGCAAAGACCCCATATTATTGAATATGAATATTGATTTTAAGAATAATTTGTACTTAATAAAAGATTTATTAAACAATAGGTATTTGCTACGTTATGCCTAATCTTGAGATTTTCTATAACTCAGAAACTCTTGTCTACAGTTTGCAACTAATCGCCCCTAGCTACATGATCTCATTCCAGCAATGGCCTCTTGCGAGTGCAGAGTAACAATCGCTTCCAGGAAAGTTTCTAATTTTCGACCCTGATTTTTGGCAGTTCGTCCAGTATCCGTTATAATTGACACAAACATCCCTACGATGCGGGCAACGTCCATTATGGATATTGAATCTGTCACTGCAATTGATGCGACCACCATGATTGTTCATGCAGGATACCTTCCCATCACGCTTTGAGTGATGATGGTCATGACCAAGAATGACTTTGTCACCGAAATCATACACGTACACCTTTCCAAGCTGATGATGTGGTCGATTTCTATTAGCCAGGTAAATGATGCCGTCCTTTATGACGTTGCCCTCGACTCCGGTGACATAATCCGTCTGTTTTCTTCCTAATACAGCACAGTCTCCAGAAATTTCTTCCAATTCGAGTTCGCCTAGATGGTTGGCTTCGAAAACTTTGCCATTGTGCTCGATCAATGCCGCTTCGACAGGGAAGTAAACACGAAGTATAGTTGAGCCTGAATCGTAGAATACGGACTTTATCTTCTTCCATTCAGCATGGTTGTTGAAGTAATGGTCTTCAAATTCACTGAGTTCGTGGTCAGGGATTTTGATCTTCTTGTAGCCGATCAACTTGATGCTATTGTTGTTGAATTTATAATCTAAGCTCTCAGTAAACTGCGCTTCGAATTCTGCCAACTCTCTTTCTAGCTGGTCGTGTGATGGGCGGGCATAAGCTTGCCCCATGTCAAAACCGAAGCTGCGAAATAGAGTAGCTGACAAATATAAGAGAACTTCATCTTCAATAAACAGATTTCAATTTCAGAATATGAGAATTATTTTTTAGTTAAAAGGGGAGGTTTCTTGGTATAAATATTTGTATTGTGCAAGTGATACAAATCTAAAAATGAAATCGATTTTATTTAATTAACGTCAAGCTTCACATTGGGATTTCGTCTGATAGACTTATGTAAATCACTTGCCCCATTTATACACTTTAAAGTACGTTTTAAGAATGTAATGTTTTACTGATAAAAATTCGCCAAAAAGCATTTCTAGTTTTTAAATGCATGGACAAATATTATGTACCGGTACAGTCCGATATTTTCCAAATTTGGTATATGCAAATCGCCCCTTATTTAGCCAAAGAGATCTGCAAGCAGAAAATTCTAAATACTTCTATGGGTTGAAAGGCCAAATGAATTTTAAGTCCCGTGGGTTCTCGTGGATACTTAAACTGCATGTTTCACTAAGCCTTTCTGTAATATATTGTGGGGATGGTGCTGAAACATGGATTTTTATGTTTCACGATCATCATCATCCCCAACAATTATTTTGAAATTTGTAGTTACGTGAAAATTTTTTTAAATGTAACAAAAATAATATTGTAATACGATCGTTTACATGGAAAATCAATTCGGGAAATTTCTTACACTATGTTGATTAATTTTTTAAATTTGGAAAAATACCGGACTGTAATATTTTTCAATTTTCAGCATACATACGCATAATTGTCTGAACATATAGACTAACAGGCAAAATTGGACTCTAGTCAGAGGCACCAAATTTATTTTGAACCCGTAATTAATCGGTTTAATTAGTCATCTATATGGAACAATTGCTCACTCGATACGGCCAGACCAATTTAATTCGGTGGTTTCCATTCCATCCTTCTCACAAAAGAGGGGGGTAATGTAAACCACCGAATTAAATTGGTCTGGCCTAAATTTAAGTAAGGATATAATAGATTATACGAACAAGGTAATGCGTTAAACCCATTAGTCTCTGCTAGTGATGCAGTAGAGTCATTTAGCAAGCACAATCGTCGCAAACCACCGTTATTGTATCCTACGCAGCAAATTTAATACGTGCTATTTCTGGGCCCCTTCGGCGCCAAAATGCTGACATATTAAATTTCACAGCCAAATAACGAATCATCTTATAAATACTGTAAAGTACTGATTATAAGCAACACTCTAAGCCGCCCATTTGACTGAATTTTTTAAAAGGTTGCTTAAATACAGTAACTTTGAAATACTCAAATCTATTTTCAAATCTTAATAAAAATTATTATTAATGTTATTATATTTAACAATTTTAAAGGAGTTGCTTATTTTATTTGATTTTTTTATAATTTTATTCTAATAAGTAAAGGATTGCTTATTTTTAGGGGGTTTCTTAATATAGGGACTTTACAGTAATTCTTATGATAAAAGTCTTTTATTATTTATAAAATTAAAATTGAAATAAATACCGGAGAAACTGGAAACACTACTCCGAAACAATGAAGATCTTCCAATTTAAATATCATATGATTGATAGAAAGGAAAAACCTATCAATTGATTCGCTAGCTTTCACCTGAAGGCTCTGCTTTTTAACCTCTTAAAAGGTTCATAGGCTCTTAACCTTATTGTCTTATTTTGGTTTGGTCTTGATTGGTTATGTATTAGAGGGTTGTTTTATATGATCAGCAACTTTTCTAGGCTCATTATGGTGTAGTCAAATTATGCAGGAAATAAAACGTTTTGAGTAAATACATTATTGATATGTACTGCATAATTGCACAATCGTTTCGAAGCTTGAAGAAGAGCACAGCTCTAGTAAAATCTCAGAAGGAATTAAAGATCAACCTTGCATAATATTTGGCCTTTTTGACTTTGTAATAGTTCTGCCACATGTTTGTAAGCAAATTCTCTGGATAATTGGTAGTTTGTTTTTTTGTTAAGGTTTATTTAATTAAATAATAATTAATTAATTAATTAATTAATAATTAGTTTAATTAATTAATAATATTTATTTATTTATTTAATTTAATTTAATAATATAATAATGTCTTAAAATACTGCACATATATTGTATACGCTTTTGACCTTATTATGAGTTAATACAGATTTATGTTCATAACAATAGGGCTAATTGGGTATGATTAGCGACTTTGTCTATTCTAATTATAGGCAAAAATAAGACGTTTTAATTTACTTCAACAACAATAATTACAAATTACAAACAAAAAAATTCATGCAATACTAAATATGGATTGGGAAAAAATATTAAATGATAAATAACTAGGGCTGTTAAAAGTCCGAACCTATCCGTCCGGACTCGGACTTTGATTAGGACCCGATCCTTGAGTCGATCCTTGAGTCAAGTTTGCAGTATTCTAATTATGTATGAATCAACGTAAATTAACCAATCAAAATGAACAATTCTCAGAACAAAAGATATGCAGTCGGACTTTGTCTCACAACGTAAATTAGCCAATCAAAATGAACAATTCTCAGAACAAAAGATATGCAGACGGACTTTGTCTGAAGTCGATCCGAATCGGTCCTAAAAAGTCCCTGTCTAGTCGACTCAAGAACCGGGTCCGACAAGCTTTTTCATAACCCTATAAATAACACAAGAAACTCAGACAATAATTATATATTTCTGACATTAAACCAATAAAAATATCATACATTAAGCGAATAATTAAATTTTTAATAATTTTAATGGTTTTTCATGCAATTCGCATGCATAACCTTACGAATAAGTGATGGGTAATTATTTATTTTTATCTACTAAAAGACTTTTTTATCTCATGCAATTCTCATGCGTGATCCTACAAATTAACCTTATGTGATTTACTACCAAAGTACCAGTATTCTAATTATATATGGAGTAACGTAAATTAGCCATCAAAATGATCAATACTCAAAACAAAAGATATGCAGTCAGACTTCAAGAACCGGGTTCAGTTGTTAATGTCTTTATTTGGGATTTTGAACTTCGGTTATTTAACCGGTTCAGGACAAGTCATAAGACAAGACATTTTTTTTGGCCCGGTTCAAATTTATTTATACCGATTTGCATACCGATTAATGTACCGACACTATGTATAAACTATAATAAAATTGCCGATAAAGCATAATAAAAAACAATATAAAAAAAAGACATAAAAGTATACGTAGACTACATAAAAAAAAAAATAACAATAATGTAAAAAAAAAAAAATAGCTATAATGTATAAAAAAAAAAAAAAAGAAAAAAAAGTGATAATATAAACTTTTTTAAAGCATATTAAAATAATCCTGAATTTCTAAATCTGCACCAAATAAATTTCATTTAGCTAAGTTATCTTCTGCAGGATGTTCTAAACTATTAAATTGCTGACAAATATCGGCATTGAGATTTCTACAAAAATGGTTATAAACTATTTAAAATACAGTCAGACCTCTCTAAATGCAGCCTTCCTAAATGCAACACCTCTCTAAATGCACGATAGAAGGCTAGCCCCACAATGAGACTTATAGATAAATGCATTTTCTTTATTCTGTAAGTGCATGCTAATTGTTTGGCACATTTATAAAAACTCCCTCCATAAATGCATTTATATGATTAATAGCCAATCAAGTTTTTTATTTTCATGACTAAAGACATGCTTATCACGTGATAATCATCATATAATGATATTATTAGTGTTTTCTAATTGCACTTCTCCCTAAATGCACGTCCAAGAGCTGGTTCCAACAATGTGTATTTAGGGAGGTTTGACTGTATCATCATTGTCATTTTCTTTGTCAATTTCATATAAATCGGTATCATCATCTAACAATTCATGAACTATTTTTTGCCATTCTTCTTCTAATTCAATGATATTTGACATCATATTTATCTTTTTATCTTGTATAGAATTAGCCTTTCCAAGGTTCTTTATTTTCATCTCATCTGGTTGAGTATTCAAAATACTATTGAAATAAAAACATTCCAGGCATAGTCTTTATTTGCATTTATTTTATCTTGATAAATTTTAGCTTAGATTTGATATAAGCCTACATGTTTGAGCATCTTATAACTAATGCTTAAAGGACCACAGGCTTTGTTGTTAAGTAGTTAGCAAGAGTAGATTAGACCTCTTTGTTAAAGAACTCAAGGAGTGTACTCAGGTACCAATCTGAGTTGATATAATCTTAAGATTTATATTCATTATATCATATGGAGTTAAAGAGGTTTTATCAACATTTCAGAAACTGGCCTACTAGTCAAAATATTACTGTATATAAGTTTTGATGTTGTAGGTATTGGTGATAATATCATTCTTCATTATAATGTTTATCAAATTTAGCAGAATTTTTATATTGGTTAAGTATACTATTAATTATAGATTTAGAGTTAGTGTAAATCTTATTGCATCTCTTAATGATATTGTCATTGAGCTGTTGTTTTATTTTTTTAATATTTTCAATATTATGTACATAATAAAGGGCTTTTTATGTATTATTGCTGTTAAAAATTCAGCTTAGCAAAAGATAATGTTTGTTAGTATGATTTGAATGTCAAAATTGTAGTTTATGTTAATAGAGTTGATTGTAGCATTATGATTGTTAGATATAAGAGTTTGGTTTCTAATAGATGCTTTAATTTGACAAATAATATTATTTAATTTTTTGAGGTAAAAGTTGTAGTTGGGATGCTTTAAAAAAGTAAGTTGTATACTATAAAACATTTGTTGGATATATGTTAGAGGGCTGCAAAGATTATGCTAGTTTAAATTTTATGCCAAATGCATTTGAGCAATTCAGAAGTATTGATTATTAGTAGTATATTGTTTAATCTGAGATTAGAAAAGATTTGGTTGATATATAATTGCCATTGTTTTGTACTCATATTTTTATAGAAAAATATACTTTTACATATTCTAGCAGAGATATATTATTTACTTATAAAAGCATATAAGAAGACTCAGAATAAAATTAGAATTTGATAGTTACTTTTAGTACTAGTATTAGAATTATTAATATAGTATAAAATCAGATAATATAGTATTGAATGGTTGGACTATATATAATCAATACAATTAGAATATCTCCTATTATTCTATATGTTAATTGATAATTAAGTGTGTACAGCTAGGTTATACATATTAATATATTGGATGTATTAAAGTAACTTATATTTAATAGATATAGATTATAAATTATCACTAGTAGCATTGAAGTCTCCTATAATTATAGGCTGTAAATTGTTAGATACTGCTAATTGTAACCATTAGATAACTGTATTTTAAACTTCAAGCCTTAATTGTAAATTGTCACAAAATAAATAAACTGAGATAATTCTAAATCTAAATCATATTTAAAAAGAATATTAATTGCAATTACATAACTGAGAAAAATAAAAATTTTATAAATATATAGTTTTAGCTAGTTTTTTAATATTAATACTATACCTGCTTTAATGCTATCTGTGTAAGACTAGTAGTAGACAAAGTTTCTTGATTTTTGAAGTTTGGTATGAGCATTTTCCTGTGAGATCTTAGTTTCAGTTATACTTATAATGTGCAAGTTGTTAATAATATAGGAATTTTTCCAGACTTGTTGTTTAAGGTTTGTATTATATAGATATTGTATATACAAATAGACAGATTGTGAGGTTTATATGTAGTGTAGTTAGTAAGCTTGATTTGAACCTTAGTGAGATATCATATAAGTCATATATTATAGAAAAAGTATGTAGTTTAGTAACATATCAAAATCATCAAATAAGTATACATATACTTTAGTTTATTATTATTAATTAGTCATTCGCCTTAATTTAATAGTAAATGATCGACATTAATTAATAAAATTCGACAGATATTAAATTAAAAAAAAATCTTAAACTTGAAATATCAAAAAATTGACTACCAAAACCTTAAATATGAAACGAAAAGGCAAATATTTAGTTACTTTACTTGATCAAGGTCGAATAGAACCAAACTTACACTTTGGGCCGTAATTGGTGGGTTCAACGAGCTCAAGAATCTGACAATTTAACAACTATACCATATCAGCTTTATATAAGCGTCACTGTAGAGTTAAATCAACAGCAATTTATAATTTCTATTATTAAATCTGAAACAAACTATTTTCAACCTGGATTTGTCTACAGTAGTGATAAATATTGCTCATTGATTCTATCATCACCTTCTACAGCTATAAACTTAGTATATTCATTAATTTTCAAGACCAATACAGAATATTCTGGACCAGCCATTATGGGATTTGATAATATGCATATTGTTAACAAAATATGTGAAAATATTTTTGGTTTTCCAATTTTTTTAAAAATCGAACCATATAATATTGTTATATCAGAGTATAATTTTTTAACAGATAAATTTACTTCTTCATTATTAATGGCTAGAAATAATCAAAAATGTCTTGTATTACAACAAATTATAAATGGTAGATTTATTCTTGATTTTTACTCAAAAACTATTATAATTGCACATTATAAAGATAAATAGCAAATAGCGTATAAAAAAAAACCAACCTAAAACTAAAACACGATGGAGTTACATTGTTTGGATATAATCATTCATTAGTAATTGAAAGATTTAATGAATTGAATAAGATGTCTAATTACACTTGCAAACCATATGAATGGCAACTTTCAGGAGTTTTAGAACAAATCTATGATTATCATATAAAATCTCGAAAAATTGCGATTAGTAATTTGTTAGATTGGAAAGCACTTTTTTTAAATTAGATTTAACAAGAAAATAGTATAATTCAATTACTGAAGGCTATAAATTCTATTTACTCGCCAGATTATAAAATACATAAAAAAGACTATCGCGCATAGAAAGCTATATTACATGCATATGAATGTAAAAATATAACACCATATTCTAAAGAAATATTAGGAATTGAATTTGAAGTAGAGCTGAAAATCCATATATGGATAAGGCAAATTTAGAAAAATTATATGAAAGTGGAATACTTAACGTAAATTTTACATCCTCACTTGTAATTAATGATAACCACGAAGAGAAAGATACTTTTTGGAGTAGTTTTTATCAATCGTTACAAAAAACAAACAAGGTGCTAAAGCAAAATTCGAATTTTGTTAATTATTGCTGAAAAAATTTTTTTATATACAATGATTTGTGAAAAATTACAGGTATAGATTTTTCTTCCTATATATTTATATAACTAATAAATAGCTAAAAATTTCAATATTAGGTTAGTCCAAATACTATTAGTCTTGCACGCAAACATTCTAGACTACATGGTCCTGAAATTCCACCTCTTATTCAACCCAAAAGAACAAGACAACATATGTCAGAAGTTAAAGAATGAGAATTTTTATTGTTTTTTCAAGATAAAAACAATATAGCGCAAAGTTTTTATAAGGTGGATCCTAAAACAGAACAACCAATTATGTATCTTCAAGATCAAAAAAAATCATTATGGACAAAATTTGCAGAAACTTACTCGAATGGTATGCGCCGAACATTATTTATGGCACAATTAGCTAATTGTAGTCATATACATTATAGAGAAGATCTTGGAGGTCTTTGCATTATATGTAATAAATATGGTTATGAAATTTTTAAAAGTCTTTTAGCATTGGCCCGACAAATTTATACTAATAAAGAACAATTAGTAAGTAATAATGTAAAATAAAACTACAGTCAACTCTTTCTATAATGAACTAATGGTTCTGGAAAAAAATAAAAGTTCACTATAGAAAATTACTATGATTTCTTAAGAACCATTGCACTTTCTATACTGAACTATTATAAAAATTTTAAAATTTTAAGTTCGTTATATCCAGAATTTGTTATATAGAGGCTCGTTAAATACAGAGTCAACTGTATATATTTAGTGTGTCAAATTAGAGATTTGTATCAAATTAAAATATTCTGATTTAAATTCTTACCCTAATTTTAAACTTCGCATTTAATTTTAATTTGGCACAAATTTTAATTCAACACATAAAATATATAAATATTTGATATATTGGTTATAAATAACTTACTATTAATTATAGGATCCCTTAATATTACATATTGAAAAACTGCAACAACAACTAAGAAAAAATTTTGAAAAGGAGTTGATTAATGAAGCAAATGGAATTCTATTACATGATAAATGTATTAATCACTGTCTTCTATATGCTTTTGGTGAATGTTCAACCCAACATGAGACCAGATGCACTGAATGTGATGAATTTTTCAATTTTTTTGATTTTTTAAAACTATTATACCAAATGAATATTATGAAAAAGTGAATGAAATGTATGAAAAATTAAAATATTTTCTTGCTTACCATGCCCATAAAGTATATCTTAACAACCAATTCAAAGCAACACTTTCTAGTCTTGATTCTAATGGAGCTATATTAATTGCTAACTATAAGATGAGAATATTACCAAAATCAGCCAGGGAAACTAAACAGGAATTCTTCAGTAAATGAGGATGGACACTTCACACAATACTGGTTTTTACTTTATCAAAAAATGAACAAGAAATGAATATTAATGCCTACGATCATTGGTCAACTGACACTAAACAAGATGCTTGGTTTACTGTGTCCTGTTTTGAAACAGTTTTTGCTAACTTACCTAGAAAACCCAAGTGGATAAAAATTATTTCTGACAATGGCCCGCACTATCACAACAGTGAACTAATGATTATTGTAGCATATTGGAACAGCTAGTATGATATAGAAGTTCGTGGATGGCTCTTTTTAGAACCCAGTGAAGCTAAGACAACTGTTGATTCGCATCACGCAGCTGTAAGTATATAATATTTTCATAAAATTCTACCAAACTATCAACTTACTAATTATTTGTATTAGATTGCACATGCTATAAAAAGACATATTTGTATTGGCTTGAATATTTTTGAGGGATCTGATATTGCAAAAGCAGGCCAAAGCCTTGCTGGAACATTTATAGCGAACATTAAACCTAATAGAAAACCAAAAAACAATATTTTAGAATTAGAATCAGTAGACTCAAATAATAGAGAATATATAAAAAAAAAAATCTCCCAAAGTCACGTGTTGGAACAATTAAAAGAATTTCTAATTTTCACTGGTGGACGTGGCCTGTAGAAAGCAAATATTCAGGATATATTATAGTATGTTCATTACCTCATTTTGGACAATCAACATTATTAACCTCAGCCGATTACACTAAATTATGTAATGATGAAATTTCTCGGCCTACTCTAATAATATCTGAACATACAAAACCAACTTCACAGTGGATAATACCTTTACCAATGAAAAACAGTAAGTTTTTTTTTTCCTATAAAAAAATTATGAATCTCATTTTATTTGAAGAATCGAATATCTATAGGTGGAGAAGAAATAGAATCATTAGATAATTTGAAAGGTAATATGAACTAAGAAATATGAAATGAAAGATATAATAATATTCCTATGTTTTCTGAATAATTACCTGAAAATTTATTATAATGGCAATAATTTGTATCTATAAACAACTAATATAACTAATTATATGAATCATTAATATAATAGATAATATGGAACAAGCCTCTGGGCATTACTTTCAGCAAACAGGTAAATAATAGAATCATTTACTTACGTATTTAAAGTTCTGTCCTTATTTATTGTTGCGGCTGAAGCTGGAAACAGCTGAAGCTGGAAATTTTAAATATTTTATTATGAAATTTTCAAAATTTTTTGGGGTGCATTTTTTTAGCTTTTTTTTCATGGTTAGATTAGGATTTAGGGTTAGTTTTTATAATGAAAGAGTATAAGTGAATTTTGGCAGGGTTTATATTTTTAAATCAGGGTCCCTGATTTCTAGCTTCAGCCGTTTCCAGCATCAGGCGCGACATTTATTATAATGAATGGTATAGAAAAGTATCTTGAACAAGAATTTCTATTAAGAAGTGGATGGGCAATGAGAGAAAATCAAATCTTTAATCAGAAAGGCAAAGGAAAACAGATTTCTCCAGAAGTGCGATCAATGCTGCACAGATGCTTTTAAATGGAAATTTAAATCCAAAAGACAAAATGTCAGCTCAAGAAATGCACAATGCATTACAAGAATTTGTAGATAATGGTGAATTAAATTCTAATGACTTACCTAAAGAATCTACTATCAAGAACTGGATTAGTAACTTCGCTAGCATATGGAAAAAAGAGTCAACTAAAACGGCACTAACAAAAAGATTGAATAATGGAGAGTATGAAAATCAATAGTTAAAAGTCATATTGATATTAATCATAAATAAAATCATATCACTAATGTGCGAAGATTAATTTTTATCAAAAATAATTTATCTTTCATCTTTTATTGAGTTTACTCTAACATAAAAGGTATACAAAAAAAAAGTTACAACATTCAATTTTATATAACAAAATCATGGTCACATAATATGTACATACTTTATATATAGCAACTCTCGCGTCAAAATCAATAATCTGCTATAATTGGTTAAGCCAATCGATCAGGTCCATCACTATTCCTTAATCATCGGCTATTTCTAAATGCCAGATATATTCACATAATATATAATGATCAACCAATAAAATAATGAAGCAAAAAGTGAAAAAATCGAGTTCACATATTTACGACAATAACTAAGCTATAATAACCTGCCCCGATTATTTATATTTGCAACTTTTTAATAATGAATAGATGTCTTATTTCGTACTTAACTCCAATTCCATTCATAAAAACAAGTTAGAATACTATCCGAACCATCATTCTACAGGTTTCAATGATGAATGAATGCATTATTTTTATCATTCTTAGCTCCAATTCTATTCACAGCAATAACCAAGACAGAATACTCTGCTGAAATGTTTATCTGCAAGTTGTTGATAACAAATTAATGCCTATTTTCATCCTTCTTAACTCAAATTCCATTTGTATAACAAGGCCATAATATTCGGTTTAGATCATTTCTATTTGCAGATTTTTTATAATGAAGTTCAGTTGATTAGTTTGGTAATGGTTCAAATATTATGATTCTTTAAAACTGATACAAAAAACTGTTCACTATGCAAGCATTTTTAGAAGAATCAACGTATTAATACGTATCAAAAATGTCAACAGAATTTTGCTTTAGTCTTGAACAATAACAAAAGTTTCTTTGTAATGATCAAATATAAATACTATCTTACATCAAAATAGACTCATAAAATTATATAAACTAAGAAAACTAGTTAATACTGTTCTGACCTAAAATGAGCGAAATAAAAAATTGAATATTTGAACACTAATTGGAGGCATTTAGTTAAAAATTTGAATTGTAAGTAGGATTGTTAATAGAGACTTTGGACTATAATAAAATATATAACCTACTTCTGAGATGCTCTGGAGTGGGTTATATGTTTATTATTAACTGGAGCCTCTATTAACAACCCTGATTGAGTAGAGAATAATACTTATGATCAAAAAATTACTATTTTGAGGGAATTTCAAATACCATTCTGATGCTTTCCTTTTAACCTTATCCACATTTGTACAACCCTAATAATACTTCTGTACTATAGTGTCCATTAGAATTACAATCTTCAGTGTATTAAATACCACTTAATCGTCTTCTTTACATATTAAACAGTAACTATTATAATCCAAGATTCTTCTTTTTAGTGCTAATAATTGCGTTATATTAGGTACTACATTGAAATTAATAAATGATCAATGAAAATGTTATAAAAGTTTAGGGATGATAAGTCTTTTGAACTTAATACATATATACATACTTACCAGACCAACACGAATAAATAAATTGAAAACGAATAGCTATTAAATACCTAGTCTTCTGCTATAATTTCGCATCTAATTTTTAGAAAACATTCTGGTTCATTATAGAAAGACAACCATATTAAAATACTATTATACATAATCTCTCTAAACTCGTGTAAGACCCCTTGAGATGATTGTTCATATAGTTTCAAAGAATTATTTTATTAGCAAAGATCCTGTAAGTTTGAAAAAATATAATGAAATTACTTAGTATAAATTTTAAATCTTTTGAATTGTACTATTTCAAGGAGACGAAATGCTACTTCATGTCAAAGATAAGTTTTACTATATACTAATAAATAAGGCTTGGTAATTTTAATTTTCGAAAAGTATTGAGTTGCTTCAAGAATTGTATTAATTTGGAGATCACATGAATAATATATGTAACTTTACTTTAGACACAAAAATTTGATATTTTTGATTATACTTATATTGATCAGCGTCACAAATTACTAATTGGTCTTACGCGGAGGACCAGTATAATGACGGTCAGACCAAATGCACATGGCAGACTATGAAATCCTTCGCAGCTGTGAGAGCCGAACATAAAACGGTGAGCACCCCTACAGAAAAAATTCTATCCAAATCATCACTAACACACATAATATTAAAGCACATATTTAGAAACATTTTGACCAATGGACTGGCCTTCGAACTATTGATCAAACTATTTATAATCAAACTTGGCAAAATGAATAC